GTCCCTGCCAGCCCACAAGCTGATTGCATAGGTCCAGGCCTCAGACTGAAAAATGGTTGTGGTTTATGCTACAAGGGTTTAGGGAAGTTTGTTTGTTATAGCAATTAAAAACAAAAACAGAAACCGTTTCTGCTTATTGTCTGTTTCAATTATCTATTGCCCAAACCATTCTCAAACTTTAGAGGCACAAAACACAATCATTAATTTGCTCATGCTTTTGAGACCTGGGGAGAGCTCAGGTCAGAAGAGACAGCTTAACGGAGTCTGGAGGATCCACTTCCAAGATAGCTCACTTACATGACAAGCAGGTTGGAGCTGGCTATGTTGGCTGGAAGCTCAGTCAGAGGTGATGGCTGGGTCCTCTGTACCCCTACAGTGGCCTCTCCTCATGTTTGGGCTGGACTTACCACATCACAGTGGCTAGGTCCAAAGAAGAAAGCACTCCAAGAGGGAGTATTTTGAGAAGATAAAACCCATTGTACACACACTTCTCAAGGTTTTTCTCAATCAACGCAGGGGAAGCCAGGGCAAGTAAAATGAAATGATATACCAGGTCCATTCCTCTTCCCATTTTCACTTTGTTCAATGAAAATATATTTTGTAGCTTGGGATGTGTGTTTGTGTGTGTGTGTGTGTGTGTGTGTGTGTTATGTTATATTATGACATCTGACACTTTATAAGTTTTCTGGCTGAGCAGAGTGCCCTAGTGGGGTGAGGAAAGGCTAGTCAACTCTTAGCTATAGCAAATGCCCAGCCAGAAGCCACTGTTATGCAAACTAAACAGTTTAGTGTCATGCCTTCTCCATCTGGCCCCTCCAAAGTAGGAGGCAACATCATTCCAGTCCCAGGTACTAGTAATGAGGGGCTATCCCTTTATCTTGGAGCCTGAAATTATTCAAATTAGTCAGCCCTAAACTGTTTACCCAGTCCTTTGACTTTCCTGCAGAAACCTTAGTAAAGTTTCTGGTCTAACATTTTCTCTTGTTGCTGCCTCCTATCTCCTGGCCAGCTTGGAGTCTTCCTCATGTGGTCCTGAGTGGTGTGCCATACCCCCTTGGACCTGTGTGTATAAGAAACATGGTTTTTACCCTCATTGGAGGAAAGATAGCTTATTTAATAAACGGTGTTGGAAAAACTGGATTTCAACCTGCCAAAGATTAAAACTAGACCCATACCTATCATCATGCACTAAACTAAGATCGAAGTGGATTAAAGAGCTAAATATCAAGACAGAAACACTAAACTTGCTGGAAGATAAGTTAGGTAGAACTCTTGATGACATTGGCATAGGAAAAGACTTTATGAACAAATCCTCAGTAGCACGGGAGCTAGCACAAAGAATCAACAACTGGGAACTCATCGTATTAAAAAGCTTCTGCACTGCAAGAGAAACTACCAACAGAGCTAAGAGACAACCTACAATGTGGGAAGAAATTTTTAGCACCTGTACCTCAGATAAAGGTCTACTATCGAGAATATATAAAGAACTTAAAAAAATCAGACCCCTCAAATTCAAAGACCCAATTCAAAAATGGGCATCCAAAATGAATAGACATTTCTCAGACAAAGAAGTAAAAGCAACAAATAAATATATGAAAAAACGTTCAACATCTCTGGTCATTCGAGAGATGCAGATGAAAACAACACTGAGATTCCACCTCACCCCACAAAGAATGGCTGCTATCAAGAAATCAACCAATAACAAATGCTGGCGGGGGTGTGGGGAGAGAGGAACCCTTCTCCATTGTTGGTGGGAGTGTAGACTGGTGCAACCACTGTGGAAATCAGTATGGAGATACCTCAAAGAACTAGGACTACAGGTCCCATTTGACCCAGCTATTCCCCTGCTGGGTCTTCCCCAAAGAATTAAAAGACTCATACCACAGCAATATATGTGCACCTATGTTTATAGTGGCACAGTTTGTAATAGCTAAAGCTTGGAAACAGCCCAAGTGCCCATCAACTGGAAACTGGATAAAGAAGATGTGGGTTTTTTATAAAATGGAGTACTACTCAGCCATAAAGAATGAGAAACTAGAGACATTTATAGCTAAATGGATGCATATTGAGGCCATACTCTTAAGTGAAATAAATAGGACACACATGTGTAAATACCAAATAGTTTCTCTAGTGTGAGAAACTGAAAGTGTAAATAAGGATTAAAAAGATTAAAATGAATAAATGATACTTTGAAATAGGAAAAGGTCCAAAGGTGTAGGGGTGGTGGGAGGGGAAGGGGAAAGGGAAGAAGGGAAAGGAAAAATTATGAGAAAAGAAAAAAAAAAAGCAAACAAAATCTATGTAAATAGGGAAGGGTGGAAGGGGTGAAGGGCACACAGGTAATGGGGGAAAAAATAAGAACTAAGATACATCATGTACAGGTACAAGCACCCAATAATAAACGTAAACGTACTGTATACCTAAAATGTACCAATAAATATATGAATGAAAAAAAAAGAAACACGGTTTTCCTGGACCTTTCTGTGTCTTATGCCCATATCTGCCTGACCATCTCATAAAGAAGAAAATGTAACCTGAAACAGTTAAATGAACCAAGATTTACAGACATAAGATCTTAAGAGTAGGAAATTTCATAAGCAGACTGCTTATGGAACATTGCTTAATATAGAGCAATATGTTGCTAACAAAACCTCTAAATCAGTGATGGTGAACGTTTTAGAGGTGAGTGCCCAAACTGCAATCCAAACCCACCTATCCATCACAAAGTGTCAATACTGCAATTAAACTTGAATACTGAGGGTTTAATTTGATAAAACAATTCATACATTAATATATTTTGTCTTAAAAGAAAAGCACAGTAACGTGAGCCATAGACTTGCCACTACTGCTCTAAATCATTCACAGAATTAGGAGAACATATGTGTTGGAACTGAAATATTATGTTCTAGGATTAATACCTCAAATGTGTTACTTGGGGTACCACGAAATACTACCACATTTTGTTACAAAATAAACCTGTGAAGGTGTTTCCTGATCCTGTTTCTAAAACTATATTACAGCATAAGCAAGTACATAGTAAAAACCATGGTTGTTTAAACTGCATTATAACCAGAAGCTGAAATCAGGAGGCTGGATTTTGATCCTGGCAGTGTTAATACCTAGCTGTGGCCCTTGACCCAGTCAACTGACCTCTCTGAAGCTCAGCTAACTGCTCTATAAAATAAAGCATCTGTACTGGATGAGCACTTACATCCTTCCTGCTTTAATAGTTACCTGTTGTCATTAAGTGGTGGGAATTGTTTTCCTAGTGTGTTCTGACACATGATTTTAAGAGGTCATCATTATCAAAAACAGGCTTGGGCTCAGGGGTTCTGAGTTACAGCCACTGGTGTCAGGGTTTGATTCAGCATGAATGATACAAAAGGGAGCTATTGGCAAAGTAACCTCTTCTCCCAGAATTTATTTAAATATTGTTAGAGGAGAAAGTAATGCAGCCAGTATCTCAAACTTTTGTACAACATTGCCATGACTTAAGAGTTGGGTGTGAAGAAGACCTGGTTGTGCAGGACCTTTTGGAACATATTAGAGAGCTCCTTCTTAACCCTAAGAGGAACAAGAAGCTATAGGTTTTTAACATAGAGGAGTGAATAACAGTGATGAAATCTGCACCTTAAAAAGTTCACTGTAATGCAGGTTGGTGATCAGATGGTAGAGAAGCCAGAGAATATGAGGACAGACACAATCAGAGGCCGTCGTGAAGTAAAGATATGATAGAAGCATGGATTAGAGTGATGAGAGGTGGAAATAAATTGACAGGCTCCCCCAGACCTATAGAACTGGGCAGACTGCACAAGCAGGCCATGGAGAATAAGATCTCATACATGACAACTAGATTTTTTTTCACCTTAAGAAATTGGCTGAAAAGGAACACTGGAAAAGAATGGTGTTTTTATCTTGTTTTTAAAAATCCTTCATGGAGAAATGAAAAGTAGATACAAGTGAAGTGTTCAGATTTGCATTTTTTGAGGTATCAAAAAAATCCAAGAGAAGGCAACAGTGTACAATTGGATACGAGTCTGGAGCTCAGGAAAGGTACAGCCAGAAGATATAAAGTCACTAGGAAATCAGTTTAATCTTGACCAACATGAACAATTCTTGGCCTCTCTGAGGACAAACCAGTGAAGGAAGAGGAAAGGTAGCAGCTGGAAAAGCAAGAGGGAAACCAAAGTGATGTGTCTCAGAAGCCAAGGAAGAGAGAACATTCAGATCTGTAGTACCAAATACTGCTAAGAAGCCATGGAAGATGAAGTCTAAAACTTGTCTGGATTTAGCAACATGGAGATCTTCAGTGGGCTAGTGAAAGTTCAGAATGATGGATTGGCTGAATATGCTAAAAGGTAAATGGGAGATAAGGAAATAAGTCCAAGTGTAGACACCATTTATCAAATTACAATGGTGCTGCAAAGGGTACAAACAGATACTGAAAACTGAGCAGAAAATACACACTGAGAGATAGAGAAAGAAGAGAGAAGAAGGGAGAAGGGATGGAGTTCTAGACAAGAGTATAGGAATGAGGGGGAAGGAACTATTAGCCTCAGGAGGTGATATATTCCTTTATTATAAACGGAGAGAATGAGAACAGTATGTGTATCAATACAGGCAGACCTACATGTTTTGTATTAAGAAGATAAGGATTTCCATATAATAGCTTCTATTTCCTTTGTAAAAGAAGGGATTTAAAGTTTCCTAATGACTTTGAGCCAGTGTTTTAGGCCAAATGATTAAACTGTCCACAGGAGTAATTTAGATTTACAGAAACAACTTCTGGTAAGTAACTAGAGTTATTACAATAGGATTCCATTCTTTTTAAGCAGAATGTACAGAAACAAATAGTAAACTGGAAATTTTTACCTTACGTGTAGATTACTACTTTCTCAAACCAGAAAGTACAAACATTCTTTGTTTGAAAATCAGCTGCATGGAATCATCACTTTTTGGGTCAAAAATACATGTGTTTTTTTTTGATTATGAGACCTTACTTGTGGGATGCTTCCCAGGCTTCCTCTTCTTCCAGAAGATCTCTTATGATGTCTGAACTGGAACTAAGAGGATATGTATGTCAGTATTACCAGATGATAAAACTGCATGGTTCCACTTAGATAAAATTCTAGAAAGTACCAATTAGTCTATCGTGACAGAAGACAAATCAGCAAACCAGTGGCAATTACCTGCACATGGGACTGGGATGGGCAAGCAGGGGCACAAAGCGGCACAAGGACACTCAGGAGTGGTGGGTGTGATCACCATCTCGAACATGAAGACGGTTTCAAACTGCCTACATAGGGCCGGGGATTTAGCTCAGTGGTTCCGCCGCCTGCTGCGCAAGCGCAAGGACCTGAGTTTGATCCCCGGTACCAAAAAAAAAAACCCAAAAAACTGCACGCATACATAGAAACTCAACCAGACTGCACTTTAAACATTGTTTGTTATATATCATTTTAATTTCAATAGCTATAAAAACAATGAATTATCAATAATGAAAAAAATCACTAAAGTTCAAATAAATCCCTCAACATAAAACCTAGATCTAAATGGAATACTGTCATGACTTTTTAATTTCCTATATCAACCAAAGATCAAATTGTATTTTATTCAATCCACAGCACCAAGAAAAAAAAACAACTCTAGTAAGATTCATAAGAGATAGGTTCCTAAGTAGTTTTCAGCCTCTTTTTAATCAAAGTAAAAGAAAATTTAATTAATCTGACCCTCCTAGTAATAGTAATTAGTTATAAATGAAACATAGCTTGAAGTACTATATCTGTAGCCTTAACAGAAATAGAACAAACTCTACTAAGGCTTTTAGCATCTTGTTCTTTCTCAAGTTAATACAAAATTATTTTTAGAAAGGATAAGCATACATCAATATCAAAAAAGCACTTCTAGACATGCAACACATACAATGCCATGAGCACTACATGAAATATGACAGAAGTAGCTGTCATATACTCTGTGGAGTAGGGAAGGCTAAAAGAAATCCCGTTCTCTCTCAGATGAGAAAAACAGACTTGGAAATGCTCATGCCAATCATATTTTTAGTGATACTCTAATAAACAAAAGTTTAAAAATTATGAAGATTTAAGTACCAACAAATCATTCTCAAACACTTGTGACAAATTACTTTATTTTGTTTTTAAGGCATAAGGAAGTCCGCTGGGCAGAATTCCTTCCATTCTCAAAGAGAACACAGTATGGGCCCTAAAAAGAGAGAGGGCATTGTGGCCTGGCACTGGGAATATTTGTGTGGGTTTAGGGGTGGAAATTTGTGAAGTTTCTAACATATATTTTGTAGCAATGTTTGCGTATAGTGCCTGAATAACAAAAAAAGGACCAGAGAGTCATTAAACACAGTTTGGGACTTCCCCTCAAATTCCTGGCACTCTGAAGGGGCTACGGGCAGGGCTGTCCTGACTATGACTGTGTGTCATGGTTTAGGTGTGGAGACCCCGCACACTGTAAGTGTGTTGTCCCTCTATGAATCAGTGGTTCCGTTACTACAGGACATGAAGGTCACGTGGAAGTAGTAGTAATTTTAGTATTTGAGAAAAAAAGTCATGATAAAGAACAATTATACATTCAATAATACTTTTAGTGTGTATTTATTCAGCAGTACTGCATATTTTAAAAATAGTAACACATGCATTTGTGAGGCACTGTTTTGTCCAGAGACAATTCTCTTTTGTGTACATGTGCACTGTGAGCATTCCTTCAGCCCTGGGTGGGGAACCACTGATCTAGTTGTACCTAAGCATCTGCTACTCTTACACTGGCACAGCCCCTGCTCAGAGGCAAGTGTCCCTGAGAATAGTCACACATTAATTTATCATCTATTTTACCTGAAGCTGGCTTAAGTAGGATTTCCCATTAAACAACTAGTGAAATGTAGTTTTTATTAAGAGAGAAGTAAGAAAAGTGGAAGGCCCTGAAGGATATTAAGCAGATTTCACCAACTTTATTATTGTCCTAAGAAACAGACTCACATCCACTTACTCAGGAGGGGCTCTATTCACTGTCATCCCATTCGCACCAAAGGGGTTCTGAAGCTCTTTACTCACAAGATCTCAACTCTTGTGCCTCTACTTCAGAGATAACTATTCTAGTTCATAAGAAAATGGAAGCTGTTTTAACCTAAACTTTCCATTCTCTCCTTTCTACTCCAAAGTCATCCATTCTGTTACCCAGATAGAATTAACAGGTATTTCTCCACCTTTTTTCATTATTGTTCCCCCAAAAGAACCTTTTCAGACTTCCTTTTTCCCCTGAACTCTCTTCATGAAAGTTAATACTACAAATGTAATATCTATCCTTTTATGTATTGTATTTATGCATCTGTGCTTTGTGATTGATTTCCTTTTTTTTGGTACTGGAGATCGAACTCGGGACCTTGTGCTTGCGAGGCAGGCAGTGGAACCACTGAGCTAAATCTCCGGCCCACATCTGTGCTTTGTATATAAAAGGAGTAAGGTTTTCTTGTTCCATCCGTCCCACAACCAGTTCTTTCATTTGAGCAATACTGGGGATTGGGCCAGGGCCCCTAAAACTGAGTTACATATACAACTCTGTTTTTAAATTTTATTTTGAGACAGGACCCACTAAGTTGTCCAGGCTGGCTCAGACTTGCAACCTTCCTGCCCTAGAGTCCTGAGTGGCTAGGATTACAGGAATGTACCATCGCCTCCCCACCCCACCCCTTTCCTTACTCCTGGAGCTGACATCATTCCTGTTGAGAACCAGTGAGCAGCAGAGGAATGGGAACTAAGGGTGACCATTTGGTTCTGGATTCTGCAGGTGTTACACAGAAAAGAGTCAAGTCAGCTTCTTGCCAACACCTCCCCTCCCCACACCCCTAATGCACACACACAGACACATACACACACACACACACACACACAATTTTTTACTTTTTTTGTTTTTTAAACAGGAAGGTTACAAAGTATCCCTACCATTCCAGCTAAGTAAGCAGGACAGCCAAGGCTGTCAACTAACCTAGTGGAGTTTATTCAATTTACCTCATCCTAGCAGCTTTCAAATCACCAGCACAAACCACTGTTAAAGGAAAATATTTGTGTACACTAATGGCATAAACCTGAGAGTTTCTGCTAGGCTGCCTCTCTGGAAACAGATGGTAGAGGAGGTTTACAAAAAACACATCTGTGAACAGCCTGCACGCTCTTCCTCCCTGACTTCAATACCACCGTCCAGCCATGCTGAAGCCCCCAGAACCCTCAATTCCTATTACCTTTCCTTCTACTCTACCCCTGGCACCCAACCGAGTGACCCCCAAATCACAGAAGGACTGACAAAAGTCGAGAGAAGTATGATCCAGTTTCAGTGTTTTCTGCTGCATCTGCTACTTCAATTCTATTCCCTTCTGAATTACTAAGGTTGATGCTAAGACTGAAATACCAGACAGAACTGCTGATTCCTTCTTAAAGCAATGTACTTGGCTATATTCTACTCAAAAGCAGTACTGAAATTAAACACAGTTTTACAAATAGGATTTTACAAAGAGCTGAGGCATAAATGTTAGTGTTACTAAAATTATCATTCATAAAAAAAATAAATAAAATTATCACTCATAGATCTATTCCTTGTGGGTAAAGCAATTATTTTTGAGGTCTTAATCATTTTAATATGCTTTGAAGATCAAAAATTCCCTTAATAGGGCTGGGGATTTAGCTCAGTGGTTCCACCACCTGCCTCGCAAGTGCAAGGATCTGAGTTCAATCTCCAGTGGCCCCCCCAAAAATCAAGACATCTTTAAAAATCCTTCACAGGAGAAAATTAATTACACTGCTTTACACTTGGGGTCAGAGTATGCCCAAGCCTACACAACTATAACTTTTAAGTGTAGGGCAAGGAACTTTTTTCAGAGTGAACTTGAGCTTCTCTCCTTTTGGGTTCTGAACATTCGAGAAGACCACACTCTAAGAAGCTGGATGAACCTGAGGTCTGGTACGGGAAAGTTACAGATTCTCTAAGGACAAGCAATCGAATCATGCCCCAATTTCATCAGTAGTCCAGGATATAGTGGACCTTGCTACACAGATTACACACAAAGAAGTCTCACTGATAAAAAGTAATCAATCTTGAATTCTATGATTTCCCAACCTCTGTTCTGGAAGATTCTGGAAGGCTTAGCTGAGTCACTCGTACTTAATTTTTCGTATCATCTAGACTTTATTTTCATGTGTCTGCTCCTAGCTGCTCTTTCTAAAATACTGTATTTCACTCTTGCCGTTCTCTGACCAAAAGGAGCACAACTTCTTATCAGGCAAAGGAAAATACTACCTTTGCATAATCCTTTTGTAGTATTCAATTTCATCCTACCACCAAAGCTGAAAAGATAACAAATACTCTGGCAACCTATGCCTAGTAATGAGAAAAAAAAATCATAAATTTTAGTGTCAAGGGAAATAAAGGTTGCAAGTGAAATTAAGTCCCATTTCTGTCACTTACTGTGTAACCCTGGGCAGATTATGGAATCTTTCCAAGTCTCAGTATCCTCCCTGCAAAGTCAGGATAATAATACATGTACTTTATAGGTATATTTTAACGATGAATCAATGTTAACACATAATGTGCTTTCTTAGAGCTTGGCACATAGTATGTGTTCAACAAACACCAGTTCCATTTTCATGAAACACACTTGAGTCTGAGTTACCTAAATAATTGTTTAGATACTATTTCAACCATGTCAGTTTCAGCACTGTATTTCAATTTGTCCTAGGAAACCTGATCACTATGTACACCATTTAAGTCTTTCATTTCCATGGTTTCTATGACACCAGCATACAAATTCATCAGAACTTTTTATTTATCCAGCATGGTAGGTACAAAACGTACTGTGGGGTAGGAAAAATGCAAACATCTGCTATAAAAACTCTATGGATAAAGATTACTCATAAGTGGAATTTTTCTATTATCTAATATTTATCCTTCCTCCCTAATCTCTTCTCTTAATTGTGGCATCAATTTGAATGTGGCTGAGTACATGCAATATTAAAAGCAAAACAAAAAATACATAAAAGATAATAAAAAG